GTCCTCTTTCTGCCCTGTGTTAGGAGAGTTTTTCATCATCCCCTCCCTCTGAAACTGCCCTTTAAAAAATTATCAATAATAAAGGGCCACAAGGTGGGAACTGTGGTAGGGACCTGAACTCTGCAAAGACACAGGCATAGTTAAAATATATATTAAGGTTATTAAGTATGAAAAGTCCAATTCCCTTAAGTACTACGTTTGACAGTTGATATCTCTGACATTTCACTTTGACACTTCTTTTTTTATTTTTATTGTGAATGTACATCCTCATTCTTTCAAACGCATGGTTTGGCTTGTGATTATCTTTCAAATTGTTTTTAGAGCAATTTTTGTGAAACCATGGATATGTCAAAAATTTGTGTTATTTTCAAATATGAGTTCCCTTGTGGAAACAATGTTACTTAGACAGCTTGAAATATCAACAAAGTGTTTGGGAAGGATGTGGCTAATGAATGCACAGTACATTAAGGGTTTGAGAAGTTCTGTTTTGGTGCTTTTAGTCTTGAAAATGAGCCACATAGGCGACCACGGTAGATAATAATGAGCTGAAAGCTATAGTGGGAGCGAATCCATCTCAACCTATGGGTAAATTAGCAGCAAGATTTGACGTTACTATTCCAACAATATTGGACCATTTGAAACAAATGGGCAAAGTAAACAAGCTGGATAGATGGGTTCCGCATGAATTAAATGAGCAACAGAAGAGAAATCATCTGGAAGCTTGCCTTTCTTTGCCATCACAACATAAAGGCAAACCCTTTCTATACTGTATTGTTATGTGTGATGAAAAATAGATACTTTTTGACAATTACAAGCGTTCAGCACAATGGTTGGATAAAGATGAAATGCTGAAACACAGTGCAAAACCAAATATTCATCAAAAAAAGCTAATGGTGTGTATTTGGTGTTCCAGCACTGGTATTATCCACTACAGCTTCATGAAACCCGATCAGTCGATTACAGCAGATGTCTACTGCAACCAATTGGATGAAATGATGAAGATGCTTGTTATTAAGCAGCTGAGATTGGTTAATAGAGACAGGCCAATCCTCTTGCAAGACAACTCTCAACCACATGTCGCACAAACAACGCTGCTAAAACTACAGAGGCTGGACTTGGAAACTCTCTGTCATCTACCGTATTCACCAGACCTTGCATCAACTGACTACCACCTCTCCCAGGCTTTGGACCACTTCTTGCAAGGAAAAATATTCAATTCTCAACAAGGTGTGGAAAATACCTTTCACAATTTTATCACCACTCATTCTCCAGGCTTCTTTGCTGCTGGAATAAACAATCTACTATTTTTTTTTTTTTAAGACAGAGTCTCACTCTGTTGCCCTGGCCAGAGTGAGTGCCGTGGCGTTAGCCTAGCTCACAGCAACCTCAAACTCCTGGGCTCAAGCGATCCTACTGCCTCAGCCTCCTGAGTAACTGGGACTACAGGCATGCACCACCATGCTTGGCTAATTTTTTCTATATATTTGTAGTTGTCCAGCCAATTTCTTTCTATTTTTTTTTTTTTTAGTATAGACAAGGTCTCGCTCTTGCTCAGGCTGGTCTCAAACTCCTGAGCTCAAACAATCCGCCCGCCTCGGCCTCCCAGAGTGCTAGGATTACAGGCGTGAGCCACCGCGCCCGGCCAACAATCTACTATTAAGATGGCAAAACTGTGTTGATAGTTTAGGCACATACTTTGATTAATTGTATTACTTCTTGTTTGAGATATAATAAACTAAACTTTTGATCAAAAATTGGACATTTCATATTTAATGCTCTAATATATATAACCAGCCATTGTTCCCTAGCTTGCTTTCCTTGCTTACTACTCAGGAGTCATGTAGCTGATGGTCATAAAGATTCTTAGCTTTCTTCATTGCTACCATAAGTAACATCACCCTTGTGAAACCTAAGGCTAGTTTTTGAGATATCTTCCAGGCCCTGAATTCCAGTAGAATAGCTGAGTCACCTAGACCAGTGGCCCATACCAAGGAACTGACTCAATTGGTCTTGCAACCCCCCATCCAGGAACTGACTCAGCACAAGAAGACAATTTTTGTACCCCTATGATTCCACCCGAAACCCAGCCAATCAGTAGACCCAATTACTTAGCCCTTTGCCCACCAAACTATTTTTAAAAACGCTTTCTTCTAAATTCTCAGAGAAAGGGATTTGAGAAATTTCTTCCATCTCGTCGGATGGCGGATCTGCAATATTAAACTCTTTCTCCACTGTAATCTCTGCTGTCTCAGTGTATTGGCTTCCTCTTGAGCAGAGGGCAATTAACCTGGTTGGGCTAACAGCTCCTCTATCTCCAACCTTACAAACCATCTCCATGAACATTAATTTAAATGAAATGATTGCCAGGATTGTCCTCATGTTCTTACTAGTCTCTACAGATTAGTGAAATTATATTGGGTCCTGACAAAAGAGAATTGGCTTTTTCTGATCAATTTTAAATTAAAAGAGAACATATAGTTGAAGCTAACAGGTTAATTATTTGCATGGATATTGTAAGAAATAAAGGAACACAAGTTACTTAATAATTACTAGAAATTACTATTATAATACAAATGATAATGAAGGAAAGCCTTTCAATTTACAGGGATATTACATGCTAAGGAAAATTACTTTCTCACTCAACAACTGACCGAAACATAAACTTGCAAGCTATGTAAATAAGGATATTAATAAATAAGGATATTGTAAAAAAATCATGCCAGGATTTGAAAATCCAAGTGCAAGTATGCAAGTCAATATTTTAAGTAATATAATTTATACCAGAATTTCTTGTTTTTCCATTAAAACTAATACTGAGAGGACTGTTTTGTTTAATTGTACAGCAAATGTGGATGCAATGCAAGTTCAAAACAAGTTTAGAGATGATTTATGTAAACTTGTTAGCAGCTTGGTGTTGTGGGGGTGAGGGGAAACTTCCCCTTCACCCAGGAAGGTATGCTGAAAGATTGACTCACAATAAGGCAGATTAATAAGAGAAAGAGATTTATTTACCTTTCTACTGTGTGCACAGAAAGAATCATGCGGTGATTACCCAATTTCCTAATGGGGTCCAGAAATTTATACATCCTCATTTTATAGGGGAGGGGATAATGAGGAATATAGGTAATTCTGTGGCAATAAATGGTTACTAGGGAGGATGGATAGATACTTGGGAGAATGAATGGATGGTGGGGGGGGGTGAAACAGATTGACTTGTAAATAATTCTCTTTGGAAACTAAATTAACCTGAGAGACAGGTATCATCTTAAAATGGTTTGGGCCAGGTCTAGTTGTATTCTTGATCTTCTTTCCTGCAATATATTGAAATAACTGGGAGGGGAAGGGAAGTCAATTGCTCTTTTTGATGGGTCTGGTTTTATGAAGATTAAACCAGAGGGAAAGCCCTTTTCAATGCTGGTCGTAGATCCCAAGAGCCTTTAATTCAAAAATACCCTTTATAACAAGGAGTCATATTTGGGGGTGAAGTTTCCTGAGCTCCTTCGGTGTTTAGCATGGTTTTTCATTCTACAGAATCCCATGGGGTTTCTAGATGAAGAACTCAATCTCGTTCCTCTGTCAGATTTAAATAATAAAAATGATGCTAAAAAACTATGTCCTCTTTTCAGGTTGGGAGTTACTCAGGAGATTCCTAGGCCTTCCTCTACCTCCCTTGGGTTTCTGGCAGGAAATGTGTGGAGAGGGAGCAGGCAAACAAGTTCCAATTCCCAGCAGCAGAGAATTAGAAAAATTTTGGTCCCTTTGTGAACCCTTGACTCCTTAGAAAAGTATGGTTTGAAACAGGGTTTTTCTTAGCTCTTTTTAAAAGCCTCTTTCCTCAAGTGCTTGAATTCTAGTAGTGTTTAAAATAGCGCTAAAAAATTATTCCTACAGTGTGCAAGTGCTAGGCCAGATAAAAAAAAATATCCTATACTTGTTAAAAGGGCAAGGAAGGCCTCGCACAGTGGCTCATGCCTGTAATCCCAGCACTTTGGGAAGCCGAGATGGGAGGATTGCTTGAGGCCAGAAGTTCAAGACTAGACTGGGCAACATAGCAAGACCCCAACTCTACAAAAAATTTTAAAAATTAGCTGGGCATGGTGGGGCACAACTGTAGTCCCAACTACCCAGGAGGCCAAGGTGGGAGGATCCCTTGGGCCCAGGATTTGGAGGCTGCAGTGAGCTATGATCACACCACTACACTCTAGCCTGGGTGACAGAGCAAGACCTGGTACCTCAAAAAGCAATCAAATAAACAAACAAAATGGTAAGGAAGACTTTATTCAGGATATTGCAATAGGTGTCAGGACTATCGCAATAGGGCTTACTTTGAATACAGCAAAGACAGCTGGGGATTGCCAGCCAATGATAAGAGTGAGGGGTCAATATGTGGATGAGACATCAAGGGTAGGGAGATTCTTGCTAAGCCTGTTTAATAGGATTTTTGCTTATGGCAGACCAGTGTGAGCAGATATCAAGGGTGGAGGATGAGGAATTCTAACGGATATTGAGGGTAATTAGATATTAAGGGTGAGGGGACTCTCACTAAACTGACTTAGCAGGATTCTTGCAACAACTGGACTAGGCAGGCCAAAGATGGCCCAAGAAGGAGACTTAGTCAAAAAGAGAGCTCAGAAGAGGCTCCTGGCTAAAGTTTAGCCAAGGAGAGTCTTTGTCAATGCCAAGCTGGTTTTCCCTTTATACCACCAAGCGGCGCCCTTCTCCCCATTCCCCCAGCCTTGAGACTTTAAAACAAAATAACGGAATTCAGGTTATGAAAATTCTAGGGGGAAGGGTTCCCCCCTATCCCAAGCGGCAGAGGCCAACGGACTCCAACTCCCATAAGCCCTCGTGGGGCTGAGATCCGACCGCCCTTCTCCCCGCCCCTGAACCTTGCGCCTGTGCGGAAGATCCTGCGCTGAGAAAAGTGGGCGGGGACAGGACAACGCGCCAGGGGAAGGAGGAGGAGGAGGAGAAGGAGGAGAAGGCGGATAAGGAGGAGGAGGAGGAGGAGGAAAAAAGAAACCATAGACTTTTACCTCGGCCTAGAGCGGCCCTGAAAGTGCAGGGGAAAGGAGGGTGGGCGGGGACCACCCCAGAACAGGCCGCCGGCGGTATAATGGCGACCCGGAATCCCCCTCCCCCAGGTGAGCGGCCAGGGCCTGAAGTGGTATCTGGGACGCGGCTCACAGCTTTCGACCTTGTTCCCGGGGCGCCTCTTCCTTCCCCTGCCCCAGGATACCTGGAGCTCTATTTTTTTTTTTTTTTGAGGCAGCCCCTTTGAGCACCCCTTTCCAGCTAGACTTCTCCTTCCCCTCTCTGCGGAACGCAGGCGGGGAGCGACCCCTACCCCCAACACAGCCCTACCTCCTGTCTTACCTTCACCTCTGGCCCTTCGTCTCCATCTTTAAATCTCTCTCTTTTTGTAATACTCGTGTATCTGAAGTGATTTCTTCTCGCGGGGCTCCTGACCGGTTTTCTCAGAGAAGGACCCCCTCCTGCCACTGATGAAAATAAACCCTGCTCTGACCTTGACCCTAGTGAGATTTGGGGGGTGACCCCACACTGCTGTGTTACGGAACTGGCCCTGGCTCCGTGACCCCTGGGTCTTTGGAAAGGAGATGAGGGCATTAGTGTCGGGCTCTTAGTCTTGAGGGCCTCAGGTCAGGAATTGAGTTTAAAAAACTCAGTTTTCATGTGGGCATTTTTAGCTGTAGGCCAAAAGTAACAATGAGTTATGACATTAAAAAAAATGTATGGGACATTTCTGACTTTTGATTGACTCTAAATTTATTTTTTCCATTTTGTATCTTGAAGACTATGAAAGTGATGACGACTCTTACGAAGTGTTGGATTTAACTGAGTATGCAAGAAGACACCACTGGTGGAATCGAGTGTTTGGCCACAGATCGGGACCAATGGTAGAAAAATACTCAGTAGCTACCCAGATTGTAATGGGTGGTGTGACTGGCTGGTGAGAACATCTTTTTCATTAAATTTCATTTGGGGGCCTGACTGCTGTCCTTTTATACATGGGCCAGAGTCACTGTGCACATTCAGTGGGTCTACATTGTTAATTCCAGAAGAGCACTACTTTGAGGCTTTTCTCGAAATTAAAATTGGTGTAATCTACATTCAGAGGCTTCCCTATTGGGATTTGGTGATCTCCTCCTCCATGCCCACCCGCTGTTTCACTCCTCCCTCCTCACTCTTCTTTTAATTCCTTATACATCTTCCCTTTTCTCAAGTTCAGCAAATGTAGTGGATCTGATTCAGTGATAGTAGATAGGAAGAAATATATGAGTTAATTGTATGTAAATTTTTACTTGCTGACAACTGGAAAAATCTGAGAAACTCCCACAGTAGAACTGGCCTCTAGGATTGTCAACCCCGTAGAGAGCAGCGTGAAATGCTCAGTAAAAATTATGGTCAGATTATGATAATGCTTTGAAGAATAGCTGTAGAAGAACATTGGTTCTATGTTGGAATTAAAAATCTAATTGCTTACTTTATAATAATATTGGAATACATTAAGAAGTGGTTAATAAGCATTAGCCTAAACCAGTTAACATTTCAGATCACGTGTTACACAATTGCTACAATGGATCTAATTCTGTTATTCTTGGTATAAAAGGCTAGCCAGGTAACGAGGGACAGGAACAAGTCTGACCCTTTATTTTGAAAATGTTCATGACTATAGAGAATTTTTCAAGTTAGGGTGCTTAACTTGTGAATAATCATTTTTTCTTAGATTCTAAGTCAAATTCATCTTACATTGATTTAGTTGACATATTTACATATTTCTACTTGATAGGTATAAAATTGAAGTTTTTGATTTGTGTCTTACATGCACTTTGGCACAATGGCACACACTCAGCTCTGTCTTTTTATAAATGCCGTTCTATGATAGAAACACTCATTGTGAAGATTCTGTGATGCAGAGGTGCAATGTTTATTCATGATGTGTATTTATTAATGCTGCTGTATGAAAAAAGCCTGCAATTAGAAGAGAGATGCCTGTCAGGGCCCTGGTCGTGAAGCTGATTCTCCACAGGCTGATTGTACCTCTATCCCCATAATTTAGGGCATGGCCTTCGTCTTAAATAAGCTCACAATTTGGTGCCATAGGTGATCGATCAATGTGAGTCAGGGCCTAATGCCCAATCTTAAAAGAGACTAAAAAATAGTTGAGAAATGGAATTACCAGTCTTTGTGTGGTTTTTCCTTGTAGACAAACTTGGTGAGAAGCCTCATAATTGGCAGAAGTTTGCTTGGAAAGCCTAGAGACAGATCAGCAGGAGTTAGTAGGTTCATTTTAGTGACTAATGCCATCAAGCAATGGATCCATATGCTTGTGGAGTACATTCCCAGGAATATTGTGGAGACCTGGCTGCTGCTTGCCTCTTCTGTTCCCTTTTCTGAGCCTTTGTTGCTGACTCCCCTACTGAGGGACACATTCTTTATGGTAATGCAGTCATCCCTCAGTATCCGCAGGGGATTGGTTTCCAGGACACCCCCACCCCCAATAACAAATTCCGTGGATGCTCAAGCCCCTGATAGAAAATGATGTAATATTTGCATATAACCTATGCACATCTCCTATATATTTTAAATCATCTCTAAGTTATTTATAATACCTAATATAACATAAATGCTATATAAATAGTTATACTGAATTGGTTTTTATTAGTAATTTAAAAATTTATTTGTATTATTTTTTATTGCTGTTTTGTTTTGTTTGAGACAGGGTCTCACTTTGTTGCCCGGGCACGAGGGCATTGGCATGATCATAGCTCACTGTAACCTCAAACTTCCTGGGCTCAGGTGGTTCTCCTGCCTCAGCCTCCCAAGTAGCTGGAACTACAGGCGAGTGCCACCATGCCTGGCTAATTTTTCTATTTTTTGTAGAGATGGGGATCTTGCTCTTGCTCAGGCTGGTCTTGAACTCTTGACCTCAAGCCATCCTCCCACCTTGGCCTCCCAGAGTGCTAGGATTATAGGCATGAGCCACCACACCCATCCTATATTGTTATTTTTTATTGTTTTTTTTCCCTAAATATCTTAGGTCCTCCCTCGGTTGAACCCAAGGGTGTGAAACCTGCAGATACAGAGGGCTGACTGTATATACATTTGGATATATACAGGTGATTTATTGTAATGACTAGTTTCGTTGTAGTAAATTTTAGCCATTTTATTAGGGTATAAAATTCATGTGGTATTGTGGTGTATGTTAAGGAGAAATAGTTAATAGGCGTTAACCTAACCAGTTAACAATTCATACCAATTCAGGACATGAATGAGAGGCTGAGGAGATGTTATTTAGCTGTAGATAGCCATAGGTTTTTGATCATGATAAGAAATTAAAACTAATATCAGGATGAGTAGTTGTTAGGAGAGATGGGAGGTGTGAAGACCAGTCAAGGGCTCTTAGAGTGGTCTGAAAGTAAGGTCATGATGGCCTTGAGAATGGAAAGGAGAAGACAGAGTCAAGTAATGTTTTGGAGATACAGTATATAGAACTGTGCAATCAGTTGTACCAAGGATGAAGAAGGCAGAGTCTGAGATAAATATGAGGTGGCAAGACTTCAACAACGGTAGGTTTGGCTGGAAAAATGATAGGTACTTTGGAACATTTTGAATATGTGGTTCTGGGTGCTGGAGAAACCCGTCATGTAGTTTTAAATGTAAATTTCCATTTAGGAAGGTTTATTAGTTTCCTCGGGCTGTTGTAACAAAGTACCACAAACTAGGTGGATTAAAATAACAAATCTATTCTCTCACAATTCTGGAGGCCGAAGGTCTGAAATCAAGGTGTCAACAGGTCTGGTTCCTTATCGGAGACTCAGTGGGAGAAATGTTTTATGTTTTTCTGCTAGCTTCTGATGGTTGCCAACAATCCTTGGCATTCTTTGGCTGTAGACTTATCACTTCAATCTCTGCCTCTGTCCTCACATGGTCATCTTCCCTCTATGAATCTGTGTCTCATATTGGATTAAGGGTCCACCCTGCTCTAGTATGATCTCATCTTATCTAATTACCTTTGCAGTGACCCTATTTCCAAACAAGGTCACATTTTGAGCTTCTGGGAAGGACATGAATTTTGGGGATGGGGGAACACTGTTCAACCCAGTGCAGAAGGCTAGAGTTAGAAATCTGGGATTCTTTTGCACAGTGTGGATCTGGAACACTAAGGGAAAGTGAGCTCACTGAAGGAGAGAATTAACACAAAAGAAGTATAGGCTGACACTCTTACAGGATAGATGAGACACAAAACAGGTTTAATATAAAAATAGATAAATATAGATAAGGAGACCATGAGAAATGTGGGCTGAAGTATAGTCAATGAGGTGGAGCTACAGCTGGACCTTAAAGGGTAGGAAAGCTTTAGATAGGCAGAGCTAGGCAGAAACACCTAGAAGCAGGGAGATTAATATCTTGAGCAAAGGTAGTGACCTATGTGGAAACTAATTGGGCTGGAACAGAAGGTTTGGGTAAGAGTTGGGGTCAGCCAGATGTATGGAACATCTTGACTATATTAAGCAAAACAAAAAAAATCACTTTTATTATGGGAAATTTCAACTTGTACAAATGTAGGAGTATAATGAACCCCTGAGTACTCATCATTTAGTTTCAGTAGCCACTTTTTTCCGATAAAGTCCCTTCGTCTTCTCTCCATCCTTTATTTTGAAGCAAATCACAGACATTTTAGATTGTGCATTTTTGACTAGCCTGTATAATCGAAGGAAAACATTAAAGATTTCTGAGCAAGTAATGGACATGATCAAAAGAAATGGGAAGACATTCAGATTTATTTGGAAAGCAGTGAAAAGTAGAAGAGGGAAAGGGTTTAGTACATCACTGATTGTTCTCATCTTTTGTTATTTCTTTCATTAAAGGTGTGCAGGATTTTTGTTCCAGAAAGTTGGAAAGCTTGCGGCAACTGCAGTAGGTGGTGGCTTTCTTCTCCTTCAGGTATGTCAGAGCTTTAGGCACTTGCCTCTGCTTACATAGGTAGCCCTTGGGAACTGAGAAAGTCAAGTTTAGCTATTTAACTACTGTCTATTTAAAAAAAAATTTTTTTTTATAGAGATGGGGTCTTGCTATGTTGCCCAGGCTGGTCTTGAACTCCTCGCCTCAAGCAATCCTCCTGCCTCAGCCTCTCCAAGTGCTGAAATTACAGGTGTGAGCCACCATGCCCAGCCACTCTTGTGCATTTTAATAAAAGATGGAATTTTTCTCTTAGGCATCAGTTTACGAAAAAACTACAATGAGTTTTGAAAGCTGGCATGTCGTGAAAGACAACAATTTAAATACTTCTAAGTTCCTTATCAAGCATAGTTTGATTCCAGCTATTAAAAAGATAACTTAAAATTTGAAGTACCTCATTTTTTTATTACTTACCCAGATTTCCCTTCTAGCATCTCCCTAGCAAAATAAACATTTCAACACATAGTATATAAAATTCAAAAGGTCTCTTTTCTGTTTCCTGGCCATGCAGTTTTTCTCCTGAGAGGAAAGTGCTGCTAGCAATTTCTACCATTTTTCTTTTAACTAGAGAACCATAATAATACAGAAAGTGGAAAATTGACTTTAAAAAAATCATCTATAATTCTGTTCCTGTGGCAGGTAGATTTGAAATTTTAGTTTTGTTCATGTTCCTCTAAGTATGAGGTCTAAAAATGCTTTGTCATTATGGAATGTTTATCAGGATACTATCTGGCATTCATGTCTGTTTGGCATATATTTTTCCAAAAATATCATTCTCCGAAGATTAAATATAGTAAATCTAAAAATTGAAAATCCTTGGGAATGAATGTTAGCAACAATTTTAAAGATGCAGAGAACTGTCAGTTGTACCAGATTTTTAAAATGATTGATGTTCATAGCAACCAAAATCTGACTTTAGCAACTAAGCCATTGATCATGTAATAACCAGTAGTTGCCTTAAGTACAAAGGAACTGGATTCATATGTGTTAAGCATAGATTTTTGAGTTGCTTACTAAACAGCCTTTTAAAATATATATGTAATATTCTTTCCCTTCATGACATTATTTGGAATAATTGCTTATTGTGGTAAGAGGTGAAAAAGAATATGATTAATATCTAAATTTAGTTCTTTGGATGGATGTGCCAGCATTTGTATGGTGGAGAATTTATTTAAGCTGATTTTGACTTGAGTTTATATAGAATCAAGAACATATTTAATTCTATAACTGTTTTGAAAATTCAGTTGTCATTTCTGTTTAGTGCAATAGGGTACAGGACTGAAGCAGTTTCCTAAAATGTTCACAGAATAGAGAGAATTGTATATTTTAATCTACTCTGCTTGTCAATTTTTCAGAAATCCATTTCAGTTCACTTAATATGCACCATTGACATCCACGTTTTGCCATTGCCACTTTCTGCTTTCCTGTGCTTAGTCCTCATATTCTTTGAAGTCTCTAAGGCAAAAGAACATAGGACCTGTCTGCATCAAACCAATTTTTCCCACAAATATAATTAGCCTTGAAAATTCAGTAGAAGGAAAATGAAAGTGGAAATAGAGTAACAAATGGCTTTTAGGCTAGTTGCCTTTAATATTTTTATGACCTTTACTTATATTTTAAGATAAATGTTAGTTTATTTAGAACTTAGAGATTTTATAGTAATAATAGTGTTTTCCAGTAGATTTTTATCATACTGTCATCTTAAAATAGACAATGGTATAGGTATTAACTATTGGCTTCCCACTATGGAATATGATAATTTATCATTTATTGAACTGTTCTTCTCCACACACATCCCCCCATCTCACACACCTGAATGCTTTCTGTCCCCTCCCCCCACATCATCTTAGTATTGTTATTTCATAATTGTGTTCGATCATTACTTGGAGTTCACTGAACTTGAATCTGCGAATTTATGTCTTTAACCATCTTTGGGAAGGTTTTTGACTGTTATTTCTACTAGAGAGTTTGGGATTATTTCTTTAGCCAACTCCTAGTTGTCTAAATCTCTTTTCATTATTGTCATATTCATCAAACAGTTTGTCAGTTTAATCTTCTGGACAAACTTGGTCCCAGAGTCCTCTGCCCTGCTTGTTTTTTAGGCCTGGTATACAGCTTTTATCCTGGGATCTCCCTTCAATACCATTCTGGATATTCCTTTTGTTTTTGTCTTTGGGTTGTTTGCTATATCTTGTGTCTTCTTGGCTATATTCTCTTGTTTTGGTGGGACATGTCCTCCAGTAACTTTTGGAGAAAATGAGCACAGGGGGTGTAGTTTTTGAGACTTTGCGTGTCTGAAAATTTCTTCATATTCACATTTGATTGATAATTTAGCTGGGTTTGCTCCATTGTCTTCTGCCTTACAGTGTTACTGTTAAAAGTCTAAAATAATTCTAATTCCTGAACCTGTGTGTGTGTGTGTGTGTGTGTGTGTGTGTTTCCTCAGTAAATGCTGATAAGATTTTCTTTTTGTACCCCGTGTTCTGATTTTTTATAGTGATATGCCTTGCTGTGGGCCTATTTTTCAGTTTGGGGAAATTTTCTTTCTTTCTTTCTCTCTCTTTTGTTTTAAAAAAGACAGAATTTTACTCTGTCACCCATGCTGGAGTTCAGTGGCATAAGCAGAACTCACTGCAGCCCCAAACTCCTGGGCTCAAGCTATCCTGCTGCCTCAGGCCCCTGGGGGAAATTTTCTTAATATTTATTTAGTTAATGATTTCCTGCCCTTTGTTTTTTTCTCATCTTTCTTTCTGTAGTTCCTGTTATGTGGATCGCCTGGACTGGTTGTCTAATTTCTCATCTTTTCTTTCCAATTTTCCAGTTATGTCTTTTTGGTCTACTTTCTGGGAAACGACTTCAACTTTATCTTCTTACCATCTTACTGAGTTTTCATTTCTGCTCTCATATTTTTAATTTCCATGAGCTCTTTTTTTGTTTGTTTCTTTTCTTGATGTGACTTTAGCATCTTGTTTCTTGTTCTTCCTTCATGGATGCAATACCTTTTTTCTTTTTTTAAGAGATTGGAAAAGTGGAATGTATTTATTTTGTGTGACTTGTCTTCCCCCAACCCATCATTTCAACCAATGCAGTGGTTAGAAGACAGTCCCTTCAATAAGACCTTTAGAAATACATCATATCCTGGAATACTAGCATCTTTGGAAACCATTTTAATTGCATGTCTATAGACTGAGAAGGTTGGTGAGAGATGGTGTAGTTGTCTTCTCTAATTTGAAGATAGAAGGTTCTTAGAGAGTAGCAGAGGCTGAAAGTTTCCCTTAGATCATCAGAAGCTAGTTTGAAGTGATTGCCTTAATAGACAGCAGAGTGTTGATCCAAAGGGTCTGTCCTGCATGGAATTCTTAGCATCTACACAGAATATTCATCTAGCAGTTTATTTTTTCAGTTTTATAAACTACACTGCAGTGACTAGCCATTTATATACATCTTTGCACGCTTGTCTAAGATAAAGCAAATATACATATGTAAGCCTTTTCATCAAGTGGCCTTCTAGAAAGTATGCATCCATTACATTCCCTCCAACCCTATATGCAAATATCTGCCAGCTTTCACCCCTTTCCATACTGTATGGTATTCTTTAGAAGGAAGTCACTATGTATAGCCCACACATCAGGAGTGGGAGTTATTTAGAAATTTTCTGCTAGAAGATTTGGCTCTTCTCCATTTATGTATTCAATCATTTATTTATATTGATATGGACTCATAGATACTGATTTTATACTCTGGGTTATAATCTAATACTGCTTTATTTTATTGCTCAGAGTGTTTCAGCTTTTGTCATTGAGAGCTCTTTCAGTTGTACATTACCTTTTTAAATCTCTTTGAGGACATAAATGATCAATTTTTTTTAACTTCTTCCTGTAAAATCTCTGTTCCTCTAAGTTTTTTCCCCTCTTCTCTGTTTATTTTGGTCTCTAGTTTTTATATTAGATGCCTTCCTCCATGCGTGATGATCCTTGGTTGTCTGTTCATATTTAAGAATTGAGCTAGCAGCTGCTGAAAGCTCTAAATGTGTATATGGGGCTTTTCCTTCTCTGGGAAATCTGACCAGTCCAAGAAAAATAATCTAAAGATACAGAGTTGGAGGTGGGGGGAATTTCCTCCAATGAAATGGCCCAGTTAGATCACCATATGGTAAGGTTCACAAGCAAAAAGTCCCATCTACCTGTTTAGAGCTTTCTGGCAGACATGAATCTTTACCTGAAAGCCTGGCATTATTTTTAACTTGGAAGCTTTATTCTAATGAAATCACTTTACCTAACTCCATTAAATATTTTAGTGTTGTAGGATAGTCAGATGTTCAAAAAGCAGTCATCACTTCCCCACCCTCTCCCCAGTTTATTGACTTGCATTTGCCTGTAATTGCTTGGATGAGTTCTGGGTGGAGAAGACTGAATTGGGTTCTGTATGGTTGGTCAGTTCTTAGAAGGTATTCGTCGATTAGGTTGGATGCACCTGAATCCCACAGGGGACAGATTGCTTGTCCTTTGTCATCTCTGCATAGGAGCACGCTGCTCAATTTGGGCTGGTATTCTTCAGTTTGACCAGATTTGCTTCCAAGGGAACATAGAAAGTGAACTTCTTAAGGAAATCTGTTCAACAATAGTAGATTACTCCAGCATAGACAGAGATTTAGTCTTTACTCACTGTCTTTTATTATCATTCATTCAATTTCTCTCATTCATCTGTTTGTCTGGCATTTTGGGGTATGCTAGGAACATAGAGATTCACAGTCCACTGGAAGAGCTAGGTATTGACAAACAAATTTAATGATCTGGTCAGTGTCAAGCTAGAAGGGTATCTGCTTGGAGGTGTTGGGGAAGGAGAACCCAGAGAGGCATAAATATCATTAGTATCTCATGTTTTTCATTTTCCCTGCAGCTGTTTGACATTTTCCCCCAAAACATTGAGGATTCTTTAAACTATGCAAAATCTTTATCTCAGATAACCTCAGATTTATAAATTTTCAGTGACAAATGGCTATGTAAAAATATTTTTGTATGATGTATAAAATGCTGTTTGTGAGAATTTGTTTAACCTGTCTCATTAAATGGCTCCCTTTATTCATTTGCTGGGAATAGCAGGGGTAGATAAGGGGTCACGTAAGGAATATAGTTGAGGTTTTTTTGTTTATTTTATCACCAATATAACACATGGCATGAAGATTAACTTTTTAAAAGACTTCATAACTTAAAATGTTAAGTTTGAAAATGACGGTTGAATTGAGGATTGCTGATGAGTGATGGCATAGATAATAATTTTGTTTTTTTCTAACCAAAAAATAAAGCCATATACGTACATGAACTGTTTGTACTTCTCATAAGCTTTGGCTTGAGTAAGAAGATGTTTTGAGATTCAGCAAAAAGCGAAACTCTGCAAAAGCTTCAAAGTAATCAACTAATTTGATTACTTACTGCAAGTAAGTTGTTAAGTCTTTTCAATTTATATGCAGAAAAGGCTCCTTTCTGTAAGGTTCGTCATCACCTCCACGTCTATAACTCAAATTGCTGTGTCAAATACTACCAGAAAAAGCTTTCACTTGCCATTTGATTTGATCACCACTGTGTTTTGCTAAGGGTGGTGTTTGAAATGATAGGTGAATAAATACAGGAAGAAATGCAGATAAATAAATTCTTTCTATGGAGTCATTCACAGAGAAAATAGAACCTAAGATTTCCAGTCAACCTATTTATATAAAATCAGATATTTTTATTATTTAAAGTAGTTTATGTGGATAAAAGTCAAAGTGTTGCATTAAAAGATTACAAAGAAAGCATAAGTTTGATGAAGTGATTTATAATCGTATATATGGCTTAATTGTTTACTACTCATGTGACTATATTTTGATTTATTATTTGAAGGCACTGATTTGCTGTACTGGCTTACAAATATGCTGTTCCTGTTTGGATTTTGCAGTGTCTCAGTACCACCATATGAGGGTTTTTCTTATTAATAGGCATTTAGCTATAGTTTTGTTAGTTTTTTTAAAAGGATTTGTGGCATGAAACTTGTATAGAGCATATTTCTTTTATATTCTCCTTGCAAAAGCAATTACCAGAAAGTATTCTTAAGAGTCAGAGTTAGTAAAGGGCTTTTATCAGGCTACTTAAATTTCTTTAGTGACCTAATAACTGATTGGCTCATGATCCCTTGTAATTAAACATCTATTTAATTAAAAGGTATTTCTTATTAGCTATATAATCTGGATAGTTTTTGTATCTTTTTAGCTAATTCCCTATTGCAAAAGTATGATAGATGATAGTACAGTTATAATACAGTTTTTGGAATCTTTTTTCCTTACTGTATTCAACACAGTTTCATCACATCTAAGTAGTTACTTATGCTTAATGTCTGTTTTCCCTAACAGACCTGAAGCTGTTTCAGGGTAGATACTTATGTCTCCCATGTTCAGTGGTTGGCACAGAGTAGGCACTCAGTATCTGTTAAATGAATAAATTAGTGAATAAAAAGCAATTTCTTGCCTATAAGTTTCGTAGATTTCTTGAAATCTAATTGTTCATATATTCTTGGGTAATTGGTTAGTTAGCAGCATAGTTGGTTTAGAATTAACCATTTTTATTACATTTTGCAGGTTGCCAGTCACAGTGGCTATGTGCAGATCGACTGGAACAGAGTTGAAAAAGATGTAAACAAAGCAAAAAGACAGATTAAGAAACGAGCAAATAAAGCAGCACCTGAAATCAACAATATAATTGAAGAAGTAAGATGATAAACAATTTTGGCTCCTTTTGTTTGTTTTTGTTAATGGGCTCGCTTAACAGAAAATGTGACTGGGGATTATATTCTTTTTTTAAAAAATGATTTTTTGATTATATATCTAGAATGTGTTAAGTACAATTTGGGATCAAGCCACCATTTAAATCAGTCATTATTTTTTTTTTTTTTTTGGTGGTTAACTTAGATTCTCCTGCCCATCTCCCATCTACTTCAATCTGCATGTAAAAGCTGAAAACATTATTCTTCCAAAATTTTTTCCCTGTTTTTATAAATGTGTATGTGTACAGTGCATAGAGGTATAGTAAAATTAAAATTATTCTTTTTTTCTTGAGGTAGAATAGTTTGAAAATGTGTATATTTTATTTTATCAATGTGATTAATATATTAGTTTTCTTAATGTTTGTATGTATATTTTGTCTCTCTTTTTTGTACTCTGTTTAAAATTGAATTGAATACTTCCTTGCCTTTGTTTTTGTTTTATCCTTTTACCTCCCTCAACTTTTTAGTTTGAAAATTTCAACCCAGTTGAAAAGTTGAAAGATAAATACAGTGAATACCCAAATACCCTTCACCTATTCACCAAGTTCACATTTTGCCATATTTGCTTTATCTGTGTGGGTGAGATTTACATATTTTTGCTGAACTATTTACAATGTCATGACTTCGCACTCCTAAATACTTCCCCGTGTATCTTCTAGGAATATGGATATTTTCCTACACAACTAAAAATA